CAAGCGCGAGGCCGGCACGGCGGCTCTGTCCTGCAGCCGGCGTGCCTCTCCGCTGTGCCTCCGCCGCTCCTCCGGGGAAGGACCCCAGGCCCCGGCCCCCCGTGCCTGCAGCCCTGACTGCCCCTCCTCTGCAGAGACGCCGCCACCCGACCTGCTGCCCACCCTCTGCCCGAGGCAGCCAGGCCCCCTCGCTCCTGGGGTCCCAGGACGGGGTCCCCGCGTGCCGGTCCGCTGTCACGAAGGGAGAGACCATCTCCTGTCTGGTCTGCTAGAGCCATTTTGGGGGAGGTGAAAGACTCCCTCTCTCCTTCCCTCCCTCCCTCCTAGCCATCTCACCCGGTTTCTGCCCCCCAGGTCCGTTCACCGAAGCTCTGGCAGGTGCTGTGGTCGACACTGCCTCTGAGGTTGGCCCGCCCCGCACAAGGCAGATAGGTAAGCTGGAACCGAAGCGTGTCTGCGTGTGCCAGAACCGAGGCAGGGAGAGCCGGGTTCCCCCACTCTCTGTGGGTCTAAGGGGCTGCCGCCTTTGAGGCACCAGTTACGTCCTATCTTCCCACACCTGTGGGCCCAGTCGCTGGGGGAGCCCAGGAATCTGCATTTTACAGGCAGTCTAGGAGAGCGTGCCAAGGTTTGGGAGGCTCGGCCTTAGGGTCAGGCTCACCTGGGAAAAAGCCTGTGGGTGTGAAGAGGTGGCAGGTAGCATGTGCTCGGGGGGCCGACTCCCTATGGCCTTTCCTGCAGCCTGATTGCGTTCATCATCTCCAGTTCTCTTTCGTAAGGAGCTGGTCCCTAACCAGCTTCCCAGTTGTCTCAAAACGATTGTTCTGGGGCCCGCCTGGTGGCGTAGCGGTTAAGTTGGCGGGTTCCGCTTTGGGGTCGCAGGGTTCGCCGGCTCGGATCCTGGGCCCAGTCCTCACTGCTCATCAAGCCATGCTGAGGTGGTGTCCCATGTAGAAGAGCTACTGGTCTCCAACTATGTTACACAACTATGTAGTGGAGCTTTGGGGAGAAAAAAGAAAAAAAGAGGAAGATTGGCAACAGATGTTAGCACTGGGCCAATCTTTCTCAAAGAAAGAGCAAGAAAAAAAGTATTAATAAAAAAGATTGTTCTACGGAATCATGAGTGTTTATGAAAAATGCCAAGCTCCCCCTTTCTTAAGTAGAAACTTGGGACATTGAGTTAATTGATTGTATTCTTAAAAGTCTGGCTGATTTTTTGCAAGTTAATGTTTGCTAGCCTGGGATTGGGCTTGAGCTGGGAGGGCTGGGCACCTTTCCTGTAGGACCACGGCTGTAGCCTCTGGTCCTCACCTTGGGGCAGCCAGTTGTTTGCGGGAGTCACACCCCACCTCCTGGTGGGTCTCAATTTTTATGCTAAAAGGAGCTGCACTGGGCCCCCTGAGCTGCCCTTTTCACCCCAGAGGAAGCCTCTTCTGTTCCCACTGGTGTTTGCTTGGTGCCTGTGGTCCACTCTTCTCCACCCTCCTTGCTGTGGCCGGGCTTCTTCACACTGTAGGTTCTGTGAAACAGACTTTCCAGCTTTCTGCCTTAGCTCCTCTCTCCCTCCGCTTGTGCAGCCTACGGAGGGGAAGGCAGCCCTTGGGTTAACTGGCACAGCCCAGTTGCATTAAAGATAATCACCAGTAGCTGGTGGTTACTGAGCCCCAGCTTTGTGCCGGCACTTCGTCCCTGGCAGGTTTCCCTGACCTGCCCCTCCGCTCCCCCACTTCAGGACTCGGGCTCTGGGTGCAGCGTGATCCGTCCCTGGGCCTGGAATCCTTGCTGCAGGTAACCAGCCGTGGCCGCACGTGTGCTCTGCACAGCTGTGTTGCATTGTGATTTCTCTTCCTTCCGCTTGGATGAAGACTTTGAGACATGCTCTTTTTTGATGGCTCCCATTTCGCCTTGGTGTGACGAGGAGCCTGTGCAAGCTTTCAGTGTTAAGCTCTGAGCCAGGATTCACAGTGTGTAAACTTGGTAGATTGATGGTAGTGTTGGCTTTCGGGAGTTGGATGGCCAGTGATATTTGCAAGAACAGTTTGGTGGCTCTCTTGAATAACGCTTTCCCTCGCTTCAGAATCACCCGGTGTGCTTCTATGAGATCTGTCCGAGGAATGCAACCTCTGTTCCTGTGACAGAGGAAACTGGTCACTTACTGTGCAGCTTTTGGGTCATTCCCACTGTCACGCTGAAACCCAAGTGAGCCACAGTCCCCTCTGCAGTGAGTCTTGCTTGCAGGGTATCCGTGGATACTTGAGGCTGCTTCTACAGAAGGCGAGCCTGTGGGGACTCCAGCAGGCAGGGCTGGCTCTGGTTTGGGCTCTGGTTTGTGCTTTTCGGCTGTGTCTTGTAAATGCCTCACCAGGGACAGAGAGAGAGCCCTTCGAGCTGTTGGCAGGGCTCTGGAAACAGCCTTGTGCCTGCAGCCTGTACATGGTGACAGTGAAGCCCCTAGGAGGTGTGGACCGCTGGGGCAAGCTCTTGTGTTTTCAGAGGTGGCTGTTAGCACTGTCGCATCTGAGGATGCATTTGAGGATTTGGATGAGTTCCCAAACTTCTGCCCTCTGAAGCTCAGTCTCCTGTAATTTGGCATGTTAGTTTCCTGACTAGAAGCCTTTGGTGGGTTTGTTTTTTTAATGGATCAAGGGGTCTTTTTTTTTTTTTTTTTAAAGATTTTATTTATTTATTTTTTCCCCCCCAAAGCCCCAGTAGATAGTTGTATGTCATAGCTGCACATCCTTCTAGTTGCTGTATGTGGGATGCGGCCTCAGCATGGCCGGAGAAGCGGTGCGCGCCCGGGATCCGAAGCCGGGCCGCCAGCATCGGAGGGCGCGCACTTAACCGCTAAGCCACAGGGCCGGCCCATCAAGGGCTCTTTGAAGAAAATGGCATATTGTTTGCTTGGAGTGTGCTGCACTCCTACCGACGTGTTGGTAGCAGAATAGGAAGCACCCTGGAAGGTGGGATCTTTGATCAAGATGATGGAAGAGTGGGGTCTCTTAGCGTCTGAACAGTCTTAGCGTGGAGTTAGGTTGCTAGGTTCCTCGGTTTGGAACAGGGTATCTGCTACAGGGCTCAATAAGGTGGGCAAGTGCTTTTTATTCTTTTTCCTGAAAATGAGTTTTTAAAACATGGCTTGTTTATTGGGCTCAGTCTCCCACTGTAGGTTCGATTAGCAGACGGCTCTTCCCACTGTGAGTCTTCCGCTCGGAGCTGTGAACTCCTCCGTCGGCGTCTCCTTGCCCGTGGACTTCAGAGCCATGGCAACGGAGGAGAAGAAGCCAGAGACCGAGGCTGCCAGAGCACAGCCCACCCCTTCGTCATCGGCCACGCAGAGCAAGGTGCGGTCCTGAGGCTCCTGGGGGCCTGCCAGGGGCACATAGCCTGGAAGATTCTTGGAAATACTGTTTCAGGCCCATAAGTCCATTCTCCTTCCTCAGTTAAACATTGCCAGTTTTTATTCCTTGACCACGTACCAAGCCAATGCTTATTATGTGCCGTGTCAGGGATTCTCAGACCCGTCCCCTGGGAAAGGGGCTTTATCAACACCATAGATCCTTAGTCCTGATTGTAAGAGTCTCTGTGGGGCCTGGAAAACTTCTCTTCCTAAGCACCCTCAGCCCCGCCCCACAGTTCTGATGCCCAGGTGGGTTTGTAGACCCTCCTGGAGACAACAGGAAGCAAACAGAGACCTTGACCAAGGGCGCAGGTTTGCTTTGGGGAGGCCGCCCTTGGGGCATGGGGTCGGGGCGCTGAACCAGGGCTGGCACTGGTGGGGATTCTCGGAGGTGGCCAGGTCAGGCGATGCTTCCAGTGTTGTTGGGGCGGGGCGATGCCCTGAGGGGCTCGGTGTTTCCAGCTGGGATGGTGGAGCCTTGACACTGAGGTGGTGGCTATGGAGAAGCAGCATTTTGAGAGGAAATAATGAGCTCACATTTAGACAAGTTCAGCGTGAAAGGTGGCTCCAGACCGAGTTCTAGTTGGCATCTGGAATAGGGATCTGGAGCCCACAAGACAGGCTGAGCTTTGAGTTAAATCCAAACTGCTAATCAGTTGAATTGGACAGTGGTGGTTACTTTTTGCTGACTGATACCGTCTTGTCAACAGCCTACACCGGTTAAACCAAACTATGCTCTAAAATTCACCCTGGCCGGCCACACGAAAGCTGTGTCCTCCGTGAAATTCAGCCCGAACGGGGAGTGGCTGGCAAGTTCATGTAGGTATCGCTGGGACCTCAGCTGCTACAAGAGGCAGTCTGCACTTCGACAGGAGCCGGGACGGTGCGGGGGGCTTGCTTTCTCACGCTGCCCCTGGGCCCTGGCAGCAGGTGGAGTGTCTGTTAGCATACGTGTCTGACTGGACAGAAGTCATGGCCTGTTGAAACTGCCCATTGCCACCCTGAAGTGACAGGGCCCTGGGGGAGAGGGGAGGGTCCTGCTGGCCGATGGCTGGGGACTGGCCGTTCCCTGTGTGACACGTGTTCAGGGTTCCTGAGTGATTCACACTGTCCCCAGGGCTCGTGTTGTGGGAAGGCCTGGATCTGGGACTCTGGATGGCTGGACAGCCTCAGTTCCTTGTACTTCTGTCTTTCAGCTGCAGATAAACTCATTAAAATTTGGGGAGCATACGATGGAAAATTTGAGAAGACCATATCTGGTCACAAGCTGGTAGGTTTCCACCCTGCACACTGAAGTTGACACTGGACATTGCAGCTCTAGTAACCCGGGAGGCAGGGCCCATCTCCAGGGCTGTCAGGTTAAGGTGTAAGTTTCCCTTCCTCCCCGAGTTTTTTTTTTTTTTTTGTGAGGAAGATCAGCCCTCAGCTTAACGTCTGCCAATCCTCCTCTTTTTGCTGAGGAAGACTGGCCTTGGGCTAACATCCATGCCCATCTTCCTCCACTTTATATGGGACGCCGCCACAGCATGGCTTGACAAGCGGTGCGTCGGTGCATGCCTGGGATCCAAACTGGCAAACTGTGGGCTGCCGCAGCGGAACGCGTGCACTTAACCGCTTGCGCCACTGGGCTGGCCTTACCCGAGTTTTTTGGTGGTTATTTGCCTCTTGTGTTTTAAGCAAACACTTTTGATCTCCAGGGACAAGTGTCTGCCCGACTGCGGGGCCTGGCAGAGCCACAGAGAACATGCTTTTCCTGTGGGGACCATTTGGCATGTCTTCTGTGTGGTCAGCACTGTTAGCTAGAGGATTTCGAGAATGGAATGACATGTGTGTTTATCTTCAGAGGATGTTGGGGGTTTGACCTTTGCTGGTTAATGTTATCTTGTCCCATCAAGGTGGTGACTTTGTGCTTTCTCCCTAGGGAATATCAGATGTGGCCTGGTCATCAGATTCTAACCTCCTTGTTTCTGCCTCAGATGATAAAACCCTAAAGATTTGGGATGTGAGCTCGGTAAGCCGCCCTGCGGGTCTCCCAGGGAAGCTCCTGTGGGTGCAGAAGGGGCACAGAGGATGAGATTGCTGAGCTTGGGGACCAGCCAGTCACTGGATGGCCTCACTGGTCATCAGATGTGCTTTGCGGCTGTTCTGGGTTAGGTGTCGATGGGTTTAGCCTGATGTGATCTTTGGGGAGGTCACCACTGGGAATGACTTGGTTTAACAGTACTTCGTTTTAGGGAAAGTGTCTGAAAACCCTAAAGGGACACAGTAATTACGTCTTCTGCTGTAACTTCAACCCCCAGTCCAACCTCATCGTCTCAGGCTCTGTAAGTGCGCCGGCTGCTCTTCTGGGTGGGAGTGACATGGGCGGGGTGCGTGGCCATCGCCTCTGACTCGGCAGCACCGTGGGGCGTGGTTGGTGAGCTTAGAGTCGTTCAGTGCTGTTCATGGAGAATCCTGGGGTGGTGGTGGTGGGTTTTGGGTTCCACAGGATCTGTCATCTCCTCTCTGTGTAGAATTGCTCTAATCTCTTCTTTTGTCTTCAGTTTGATGAAAGTGTAAGGATATGGGACGTGAAAACGGGGAAGTGCCTCAAGACTTTGCCTGCGCACTCGGATCCAGTCTCAGCTGTAAGTCCCCCGACCTGTAAAGGTGGCTGGTGTCCAGCCGAGTTCTTGATATTCATGCAACAGTATAGAGAGATGTTCAGAGATTGGGCACGGGGACCCCGAGAGAGATCGCACAGTCCTGTGCCCGTGGAAGGACAGGTGGGTGTGGTGCCCGGGGAGGCGTCCCCAGACTGAACCTTCAGGCTGGCCTCCCTGTCTGTCCTGGAGGAGGGAGCCGTGCGTAAGGAAGTGTGACCATGGCAGAGTGTGAGTCTGAGTGGTGTCACTGATTGGTGGGGTGGTGGGTGGAGGAGGTTGGAATGGCCCAGTCATGGGTGAAGTGGGACCCCAGGAGTGGGCTCCCCCTGTGGTCCACATCCTGCTTTTTTGCAGACGCCGCAAGTGTTAAAATCAGCATACAAGAGTTAAACTGCACACTGTCATCAATTGCTGCATTTAGAAAATGGCCAAAATATTCATTTCTTTGTTAGCAAAGAGCCTGAGGTGGTCTCTTAGCCAAGTGTGCCTTTTGAAAGCTGGGGGGAATTGTGTGTACAGTTTGTTGATGGTTACTGAGCAGACCGTCCTTGCACTGGCTGAAATCGTGCAGGTGAGTGATGGTAAGCATTGTCAGCCTTCGAAAGCCTTTTTGGTCCAGCTGAGACTGTACACAGAGCCCTGATACATAGAGGACTCGTAACGTGTGCTGGTTGAAGCAGGCTCGTGGAGCCCTGGCCCTTGGGCACGGCCCTCAGTGGCCCAGAGTCACTGCCTGTGCCTGGGGCTCGGAGGAGGGAGGTTTTCCCAGCGCCCCGCAGTGGTGTGCTCATAGGCCCCACCTGACCCCGTGCTGTCGCTCATCTGCCCTCTGGCGTGGAGTTACGCTCAGAGTAGGGCTAGCTTTCAAACAGGCTCGCAAATGAACACGTGTGAAGGGACGGCCGTGAGTCGAAAGAGTTCTGTCTGCGTTACAGTGGTCAGGATCGCTGGAGGTGGGATCTTAGAGTCTGTGTCTTACAAAAGTAACGTGTGCTCATTTGAAAAGAAAAAAAGGCAAGCACATGTTGCAAGCAGAAAATCAGAGTCTCCTGAGCTGCCACCCTGCGGGGTCAACTGCCGGCAGCCGGAGTCTCTCTGCCCTCTGGGGTGTTTGGTCTTTAAATACGTGTTCTCCAGGGGCCGGCCCCGTGGTGTAGCAGTTAAGTGCGTGTGCTCTGCTGCTGGCGGCCTGGGGTTCGGATCCCGGGCGTGCACCGATGCACTGCTTGTCAGGCCGTGCTGTGGCGGCGTCCCATATAAAGTGAAGAAAGATGGGCACGGATGTTAGCCCAGGGCCAATCTTCCCCAGCAGAAAAAGGGGGAGGATTGACATGGATGTTAGCTCAGGGCTGATCTTCCTCACAAAAAATAAATAAATAAATAAACTAATTCAGCAAGAGAAGAACATTATTAAAAAAGAAAAAATACATGTTCTCCAGCCTGCCTCCTCTATTTTAAGTCGCAGGGATGCTGCGCCAGCTACTGTTCTGCAGCTGTTTGTGGGGCGTCTTCTGTGTCAGTGCACACAGCGCCACCGTGACCCCAGGACCTCTGGCACTGGTGCCCCGTGTCGTGCTTGACGCTATTTGCCAGTCACCCTGATGGATGCTTGTCTCTAACTTTCACTTTTATCAAAAAGAATGGGAACATCTTCATTTGAACAGCCTTGCGTGCTTGTGTGACCGTTTCTGCAGGCTGCATTCTGGAGGGGAATGCTGTGTCAGTATGCACGTTGAGCTTTTTAATAGGTAGTCTTGGAGCTAGAAGCTTCAGGGTCTGTGAGTTCTGCTGGCCTCCTCCCATGCCTGTCTTTCCTCCCACTTGGGTCCAGCCACTGTCCTCTTCCTCCTGTATCAGCTTCTTAACTGGAGCCTCCCCTGTCCGTTTCATCCCGCACCCCTCGCTCCCTGGCCGCGGCCACTCGGCCTGTGGTTTTCCTAATGTTCACCCACTGCTTCCTGCCTCAGTGCTTTTGCCTGAGCTCATCTGGCCACCAGGTGTCACCTCTGCAGCGAGCTCTGAGTTCATCTGAGTGGAGACTCGGCACCCCCGTTAGGTTCTGTCTTGTTACCTGTTTGGTTTCTTCGTGGCACTTTATTTCTGGCTGTCTTTAGAATGTACTGTCTGGGCTGTGTTGCCTTTGTCACACCTCAGCATTGAGGTGTGAATGGAGAGACAGACTGCTGCATTTGCAGGGGTGATGCAGGGATGTGACTGGGAACAAAGGAGAGCACTGCGGTGTGCATTGCAGGTTGTCATGGCAGGTGCTGGGGACCTGTGTCAACTCATGGTCTTCTAGCATAGTGGCCTCGATGAAGGGATATAGTATTTTGCCAATTTAAAGAAAGGGATGAATGTGGTTAGGTCGACTGCTGTGAGTTATAGAGAAAATTGCTTTGAGAGGCTGACGAATACGTGGCTACAGATAAGTAGCTGGTGCTGCGAGAGCATCGTGTCAGTACAACTGGTAGGAACAGAACGAAGACCATTACAGCAGCCTCTCATGTGTCTGCTGGAGACTAGATCCTCGCGAGCCTCGCTGTCCAGCGTGGAGCCCACCAGCCACATGTGGCGGTCGAGCACTTGAGTGCAGCGAGCCCGGGCTGAGACAAGCTGGAAGTGTAAAATACGCTCTCAGGTTTCAGAGATTCAGTTCAACAAAAAAGAAAGTAAAATGTCTTGTTAATAACTTCTAATATTGATTACCTGTTGAAATAGTAGTTCAGACATGTTGAGTTAAATAAAATGTAAGTTCCACCTGTTACTTTTCTGCTGCAGCTACTAGAAAATTTGAAATCGCACACGTGGCTCGCAGGGCTCCTCGCGAGTCTAGAGCAGTGGTCCTCCGGCTGTGGGCCCTGGACCAGAGCGTCAGCGTCCGCCGGGGTGTGAGAAGTGCAGGTTCTTGGCGTCCGGCACGCAGTTTAACAAGCCCTCAGGGGCTTCTGGTACAGGTGGATTTGCCCCCGGGGTGTCCGGCAATGTCTGGTTGTCACAGATGCTACTGGCATCTCGTGAATCGAGGACGAGGGTGCTGCTACACAGGACAGCCTCATGGCAAAGAAGACCGTGACAGATGTCAGTAGTGCTGAGGTGGACACTGGTCTGGATGGCTGAGATACACAGACGGCCTCAGCCACATCCCTGAGCCATTAAACCAGGTGCTCCTTTGTGCGGCCCGGTTTCACGTGGGAGATGTATCACACGGAGCAGGAAACAAGACAGTTTCTAAAGGTGTTACCTGTCATGAACAGGCTTATCCTGGGTAAAACCTGCCCAGGACTCATTGTTATTTAACAATGATGGGAATCTAGGATGAACTCCAGCTCCTGCCATTGTGAGTCCTTTTATTCCCACTGAGACTTAGTTGGAAAAAACAAGAAGGAAAACCCAAAGACGAATCAGTTACAAGAAGGGGCTTGTCAGGTTGTAACTTCTTTTCCAGAAGGTGTATCTCGCCTTCCCCCGCAGAGGGCGGAGTTTGGCATTCGGATGCAATGAACAGTGGGGAAGTATCACAGGTCGGCTTCTGGGACCAGCAGCAAATTGGGGATCGCACCTATTCCGAGGCACCAGGTTTGGAGCAGCCTGGACCTCATTTCTGTCCCATCTGGAAAGCTCGAGCGGGCGCGAGCATTCCCGGTGATTAGTGGCCATGCGAACGGAGCGGTTCGGGGGCCGTCAGTGGGCAGGGACGTCTGAGTGAGGAGGCACCGGAGTTCATTCTTACAGTAGTTACTGAATAAGTGGGTTTCTCTCTCCTGATTTGTATTTCTTTGTTCATTTGATGTCAGGGGAAGAATTTTTAGCCACATTGCCCTGGGCAGGCTGCCTTCACAGCAGCAGCAGATCCACAGACAGGCTCCCAGAAGCCAGTGGGTCTCGGTTGGTTGGTTGTGTTTTCTTTTCAAGAAGGCATTTCATAGTGAGTGATTTAACTACTCAAGACGTGTTTCAAGGTTGGTTTCCTTTTTATGGTCCTGTCATCCATCATAAAATGAACTATTGCTTGAGACAACAGGTGAAAATGATCATTTTATCCACGTAGCTTGTGCAGGTTTATTAGAGTCTTCAGGAAATCAGCAGATGATGGCTCTGCTGTGTGCTCAGTATGCAGCAAGATGTGCTGCGCATCTTGTCCCGAGCGTTCGCGAATAGGCGGGCCACTCAGGTAAGAAGCAGTCTGTGTTGACGATGTAAAAGTAAGTTTCTTTCCTCCTCCTTCATTTTCAGGTTCATTTTAATCGTGATGGATCCTTGATAGTTTCCAGTAGCTACGATGGTCTCTGGTAAGTGAAAAGTTTGTACTGCATTTAGTCAGGAAATATTTACTAAAGGCCTCCTCTTGCGCTGTTTGGGCCTCTGGGGTTATAGCAGTGGGAAGAAGGGACAGAAGTCTCTACCCTCAAGAACTTACACTGTAGCAGGGGCTGCAGGCAGATGGACGGACACACAGTTCAACGTCAGGTGGTGAAAATGTTAGGAAGGAGGACAGAGCAGGCTAGGAGTTAGTGTGGCTGGGAGGCTGGGCTCCTGGCACAGGGAGGGCCCCCCAGGCAGGGCCCAGCAAGGCGCTTCTGTGCTGGACTTAGCTCCTTGCAGACATGGAAGTCCACAAGCTCTCTTCACAAGCTCGTGGGCGTTGGTGGTGCCGACACATGGGGATTCTCAGTGTATCAGCCTCGTGTCCCGTAGAGGAAATGTCAGAGTCCTGAGCAGGTGAATGGGGACAAATCCTGTCCTGGGGACGGTGAGGAGGAAGAGGGGATGTGGTCTCGTGCAGGACATCCAGTTTAGTCTAAGTGGATGACACTCATAGAGCCTGAGTTTGTACCGTAAGTGTTCAGGATTTGTTATGAGACGTAAGGGAAAATATGGAAGTAAACGTCTTAAGTTGAACTCAGCAGAGCCCACGATGGGGCACGTGTTGGGTTGTGTTTGGGTTTGGAGGTTGGCACCATGACCCATTCGGTTACTGGGGAGCGGAGGGTACGGTGGCCACTGGCTGAATTGATGACCCGAGAACTCCCCAATTACAAGGGAGAAAGCAAGCATGACTAGAAATTGGTCCGTATTTGGCAAAAATAACAAAAAAGGGGAAATAGAATAACATAGGTACTACGTGTAAAAATGCTATGGAAGAGATGAAACATACTGTCCTAGGTTTTATAGTACTGGCTGAATTGGCTGATACCCTTATTGAAGGCTGTCAGGTTTGGTTTAAAAACCCTTCTGGCTCTTGTTGTTTTCAAGAAACACACTTTAAACAAAGTGGTTAGGAAAGGTTTGACACAGAAGGATGGGCAGACGATGTTGGGCCATAACAAAGCAAAGAGCCATGTGAATAAGTGGGATTTGAAGACAGAGCAGTAACCAGGGAGAGAGTGACACTTAATGAACCGGGCAGATTTGATGAAAAAGACTGAGGATTAGAAACCTCTATGCACCAAGCAACATAGCAGCCCAAAGATACCAAGTAAAACTGGAAGTAGAAGGAGAACTAACATTTCCTGTGAGTGAGTCAATGTATTGCTTTTAGAGAAGTGACAGAAGAGGACTTGGGACTCAGCGGGTCTGGGTGGCACCCCAGGCTATGTGTTTGCTGCATACGGAGAGAGTGTTGTGTGTGCAGAGACTGGGTGTTCTCCTGGGAGCACAGGACAGTCTCAGAGTTGCTTGTGGGCTGGCTCTGAAAGCTTCCTAAAGAAATTAGAGAAAAAGCACACCAAATAAAGCAGGAGGAGGAAATTTATGAAGTTAAAAGATGGAGAAAGGAGAAAATAGTAGAGAAAATGAGGTGTATTTTTACTGAGGCCAGTAAAGGGGTTAGGCTTTATAAGCCCAAATGAGGAGGAAGAGCAAGAGCACCAAGATGAGGATGGAGAGGGTGGGCACCGCAGCTTCCGGGGCGGGTGAAGAGGAGGAGCAGCGCGTCTCCACTCGCAGGCGGGAGGGGTTCCCAGTTCCGGAGTGGACTGAGGACGGGGCTCGAGGGACCGGTCACCAGGGGAGGGACTGGAAAAGGTGACTGAAGGTCTAAAAATGATACCAGGCCGTATGATTTTCTACTGGAGTGCAGTTAAATAACAAACCCCTAAGGCTGTTGAAACTGTTCGACCACAGAACAAGATGGGAAGGAGCCCCTGATTCATTTTATGGGTCTGGTGTGACCTTCCCCCCAAGCTTGATGGCTAGTCCAGGTAGAAGACCACAGAGGAGACTTCACTCGTGAATAGTGAGATCACAGTTCCAGAGAAAACGTCAGCAAATGAGTCCAGCCGTGCGTCAGCAAATAGTGTTCCATGACCAAGTGGTTTACTGAGTAATGATAGGATTGTAATAACATGGAAAACATCAGGAAACCCATAATCTAATTACTTATATCGACAAGTTAAAGGCAGACATCTGTATAATTTGTTACCAGTAGAGGTCAGATAGGCACCTGATAAAATCAGCAGCCATTCCTAATAACTCTAGCAAAATGGGCCAACACTGTACACTGTTTACCAGAAACTTCATAACTTCTGTAATAAGTGGTGACACGCTAAAACCGCTTCTACTAAAATCGGGGGCAAAGCAACCTGTTGCCCCCGTTATTCAGTGTTGTTTGGAGTTTGCAGTTCACGTGGTAAGAAAACAAAAGTAATTATATGAAGACTGGTTAGAGATTTATCTCTTTGTAGATGATACATTTGTATGTTTTTGAAATTTAAAAACCACTGATATGTAGTTTGCAAATATCCAGTCATTTAGCTGTCATAACAGCCCTGTGCCGTGGGTGCTCCACTGTCGCCAACACATTTTCAGTTGGGACACCGAGGGAGGGATAAGCACTTGCCCTTGTCCCTCAGCCAGAAGTGACATCAGGCCCTGGAGTCTGGGCTCTGAACCCCGGGCCTGCTGGCCACAAAATGTGACTCAGTGTATGGTGATGTCAATGTTTGAAAATGGAGAGTTTTTCTCTATACCAGAGTTGCGGTTAAGGATGAGAAGAAAGTCCCCTATGTAACAGTGACAGAATGTTAGGGTACTTAGGACATGTTTAACAAGAGAGCAGCACCCCATAGAGAAAGTGGTAAAATGTAAGCGCAGGGACACAGCAGAGAGTGAAGGGGCGGCACGAGGCGCACGTCACGTGCTGGTGGTGGGGGTCAGTCATCGAGGCTGATACACTGTGGGCAGTTCCATTTAGAACCCCTCTGGGGCGTTTCTGCACCAGATAAAGTGCAACTCAAATTCATAGAGGATCATAATTGAGCTGTATGCCAGAGAACTAAGAAAAGGAGTAGTATGGAGGAGAGTTGCTATTTCTGGGTATTAACACCTGAGGTAAAGTCATTCTGCAGCACCCAGAGTGGAATTGTCTCGGGAAGAGCTGACGTGTAGGTGGGACGGGACGAGGTGCCGAGCCCCAGGGCCTGCAGTCCTCCCAGAGCGGGGAGCTGTCAGGGGCCGGAGAAGCTGTTCCCAGAGCAGACAGCAAAAGACCCGGCTCGGTAGTCAGGGAGTTCAGAATTCCTTGCATTGGCCAGTAGTAAGGGATCCTGTCCCGAGGAGGGACGCACAGGAACAGATGTGGACTGTGGGCGAGGGCGTTTGGAGAATCATCTGTCAATGTCTGTCATCCTCACGATTTGCACAGCCTTTGCCCCAGCGCCCCCACTGCTGGGGTCTTGGCTGTGGGAGGGTGGGCACTAGTCCACGGTGCATGTTCCAAAGTTCTCTTGCTACTGAACGAGAGGGGTGTCCAGAAAACTGCATATGATACTGTATTTTTATGAAGAACACACCCTCTCCCGAGTGACCGCACGCTTAGAATGCTTGTGTGCACGTGGAGGGACCTGCAGGGGGATAGGTGAGGCAGTTGGCGCCCTCCCCCGTGGCCGAGAGGGCAGAGGGGCGAGTCGTGTCTCCGGTCCTGTTCCACCTCACCTGTGTGGGGGACGTGTTCCTTGTGGGAGAGGAGCTGAAGTGTGCCCCGTGTGTGTGTGTGCAGCGTGTGTGCGTGTGCACGGTGCCCATGCTGGTCCCCGGAAGGTAAGAGAATAGCTGTTGAATGAACGAGTGAAGCGTAACAGTTAAAAGAAATGGGGAAAGGCGCATCAGTCCGGGAACTTACCCTCAGAACCGTAGGACACGCCGAGGCCCCGGCAGTGACTTGCTGTTCACCCTTCTCGTGTCTGCCTTGCAGTCGGATCTGGGACACGGCCTCGGGCCAGTGCTTGAAGACGCTCATCGGTGAGTGCCGGCTCTCGCTTCCGGGGTGGATGTTTCCTCCGAGTGACAGTCGCTCATCAGCTGTGGAGGCTTTTCCTGTGCTCTTTCCTGCCCTCCATCTTCTGTGGTTTCCTGGACGCCTCCCTTTCCCCACTGTCCTAGATCTGCTCCCTGTGGGAGGAACCCTCCTCTCCTGACCGTTTCCGTCGGGGAGGGCGGTTCTGGGCAAGGGTGTAATGGAGTGGGAAGGTCTTAGCACGGCCTGGGCAGGCAGGCGGTGCTGTGGGCTTGGTGAATGTGTGGCCGGAGGGTGGGTGATGGGCCCCTGCAGGGCCTTGGACCTGGGCAGGCGATGGGGAGGGAGGGAGCCCTGGAGGGTTTTAATCTGGGAGTGTGACTACTTGAGAGGGCTGCTCACCTCCAGTCAGCCTGGAAGGTCTTCGTAGCTTTAGGTTGAATGTAGGGTGGGGTAGGCTGTCGCCTCCTGGGTTATGTCCGGGTCTGTGCCGTGAAGAGGGAGTGAGGGGGCGCTGTGGGCAGGAGGTGGCCCACCCGGGGAGGTGTCGCCTCCTTCCCCAGCTGTCACGAGAGCAAATGTGGCTGCACGATTAACAGAACACCACAGGCTGGGGGCTTCCTCTGCAGAAACGCATTCTCTCAGGGTCTGGAGGCCGGGTGTCTGAGCTCAGGGTGCCGGCAGGCTGGTTTCTCCGAGGCGTCTCCTTGGCCCTCTCACTGTGTCCCCACGTGGCCGTTCCTCTGCGTGCACCCCGGCATCTGCATCTCCTCTTAGACCACACCGGCCACGTGGATTGGGGCCCCGTAACGGCCTCATTTTAACTTAATCCCCCTCTAAAGGCCCCATCTCCAGACAGAGCCTCGGTCCGAGCTGCTGGGGTTAGGACTTCAATGTGAGGATTTGAGGGGCACGCAGGTCAGCCCTTCACAGTGGCCTTTGTGGTTTTCTTGCTTTACGAGGCCGCCCTTTGAGGCGCATCCTTACCTGCGACCGTGACACTGCAGTGTGTCTGTCGCAGCAGCGTCTCTCCCCAGAGGCCTGGTGCAGCTGCCTCTGCCAGTGGGAAAGTGTCACTTGTGCCAACACTGCCACCCGGCAGCTGGGCGGGAAACTGAGGCCCCGAGAGGTTGATTAGCGGGCCCAAGGCCGGCAGCAAGCATGCACTGGGGCCAGGATTGAGCAGCATCGGGAAGAAAGGGGCGGTGGCTAGCGGTGTTCCCGTCCCTTTCTAGTTTCAGGTCTAGGGAGTTAGAACTTTCTGGACCAGGAGACGGGTCCCAGGGATGCGTTGCTGACGGGGCTGGGTTAGAACTGTCAGCACTACCTCACCTCGTTCGTGTTCCATGGCTTGCCTTCCTGGTGTGGCCCCTGTGACCTGAGGGGGCCCTGTGCGGCCTCACGCCTTCTCATGTGCCTTTGCAGTGTCTGGGACCAGTTGGAGGGAGCAGAGGCCCCCGGTGCACGGTGGCCAGGCCCGGGTCCCCCGAGGTGGTAATGCGGGGTGCTGCTCTCCCCCGGTGCTCGGGACACACCAGCCACGCCCGGCTCCCACACGGGGTGCACTCCTGCCAGCCTCTCCTCACCCAGGCCAGGGAAGCGCTCCTCCCGATGTGAGCCTTCTAGGACTGTCCCGTAGCGTGAAGGCTGACCTCTGGGCTTGCCCGCTCCTTTTCAGCCCTGTGAGAAGGGTGACTCTTTACCCTGTGACAGCAGCTCTTAATCACACTCCAGGGCCGCCCGGGGTGAACGTTTAGACCTGGAATATCAGAAGCAAGGATGGGGGTGCAATCTCATCAGGGTTGTTTCTAGAGAGAGGTTACAAATCTTTTGCCCTAACTATGTAACAGGAAAACATGACATTATTCACCCGAGTTATTTTTCCTTAGGGGTGGTAGTTTCTTAGTATAGCTGGGTATTTGCAAACTTTGTTTCATGTGAGGAAGTCAATCCTGAGTCTTCTCACGATACCGTGCTGGCGGGAGGCCAGGCAGCCTGAGTTTGATTCGCCACAGGCCCCTTGCTCCTGAAGCCCTTGTGTCATGGGAGGGGGGTCGCTGGGCCCCCGTCAAGGGCCCGCGGAGCCGTGGGACGGAGGAGCATCGAGGAGAACCAGCTCTCGTGACGGGCTCTCGCGACGGGTGAAGGGAGGCGTGGCTGGCTCCTTGGGGACTCCATCTGAGGGTGGTCGTGTTGGCATGGGTGGAGGTGGCGTCACTCGGACAGTCCGTTCCCGTTTCCCTCCCTGGGCAGAGGCCCAGCACCCTGTGTGTCAGCCCGCCTCTGCTTTCAATGCAGATGATGACAACCCTCCCGTGTCCTTTGTGAAGTTCTCTCCGAATGGCAAGTACATCCTGGCCGCCACCTTGGACAAGTAAGCCCTCCTGCGTCCCCGTGGGGGGCGTGCCGCCTCACTGAGCTGCCAGGGACGCCCATTTCCTACCTGTTTGAAATTTCTTAAAAGATGTTTAAGCCCAGTACGTGATTCAGGATCCTGCTGGGTTTAGGCTTCTGGAATATGGATGCCATTCTGGAAGGGAGGGCCCTCATCTTTGCTGGGGCCAAATCTTGGGTCCAAAGAAGGATTTGGGGTCTCGCTTTCTCCATGGTGACTGTGTGGCCAGGCAGCCCCTTCTCCCAGCCCTTCTGTCTGAAGGAATGGGAGGGACAGGTGGCCTCGGAGGTGCTTTCTGGTTCTGCCCTGGGCACCTTGACTCCCCCTGCAAACTTTGGAGCAGAGTTCACGGTAACTCAGACTGTGGCCCTCCTCCGGGAGGTGGGTGAGCTCTGCTTCATGTGCACACTGCATGCAGCCCTTTGGAGGGGCCATGCTTTCGCCCCAAGCTCGTCGGAGGGCTGCGTGGTCTGCACTTTCCTCATCAGCCCCTCGTGGGAGGAGAGAATTCCTGCCCGAGAAGGAGGAAGGAGTGTTGCTGCTGAGATCTGTTCTAGATGTTTCTGGAACGGAGACTTCCCACGTTCCTTTCTAGTGGGAATGAGATGACCACTACTGATTTAGGGAACACCCAGCAGCTTCCTTTAAGAGAGTCTGTTCTTGAACCACCAAAAATTTGGGGTTCTCATGCTGTGCCCTTGGATGTCCTCAAATCACTGACTCTGTGCCCCACCCTGTGCTGGGCACCCGCGCTTGGAGAGCGTTAGAGAGTCCCGGCTCCCTGGCTTTGCTCCAGACGTGGCTGCAGCAGAGTGGGGTGCACGGTGACAGCAGACACGCCTCCTGGAGATGTAGTTGACTTGCCCTTTCTCTGCCTTCCAGCACGCTGAAGCTCTGGGACTACAGCAAGGGGAAGGTGAGCATGGGGAGACGGGCTGGCTCGGGCTGGGTTGTGCGAAGCTCCTGGGTGTTTGGTGGCCGCGGAGCTGAGCCAGGAGCCGAGGCAAGAGGGAACGCAGAAAGCCATCTTCATTGAGTTGGTTTGGTGCAAGTTTCTGGAAGACAGGTTTTTGCAGATCGCCAGCCTGCAAGGTAAAGCTTGAGCACCCGGGTTTTGTGCTGTAGGCACTGAGTGCTCACAGACCTGAGTGTAATCGGCTGTCAGACGCCTGCACTCAGCGCTTGGGGATCATCCGGGATGCAGGGAAGTCGTGACTCTGTGAACAGGGCTGTTCCCTTGTCTTTTCAGTGCCTGAAGACGTATACCGGCCACAAGAACGAGAAATACTGCATATTTGCAAACTTCTCTGTGACTGGTGGGAAGGTGAGTTTCCTCCCAGCTTCTCCCCCGAGAGGGGACACCCGCTCCAGGTGGCTTTATGCCTAGATATGCGTTTCTGTGCCCACAAAATGAGTAGGAGTTTTCTGTTTTTTAACCAGAATGAAGTCACATCACGCAAAGTATTGGTGACTCTCACTCTGTTCTGAGATGTCTATTCACGTCTGCTTCTGACCCCCCCAATCCCTTATGGGAGGCAGAGGAGTCTGTGGTGGGGTGTGATGGCGGATCAGCTGATCCTTCCTTTAAGTCAGGCCGGCACAGCCTTGCCCTGAGGGACTGGCTCGCTCAGAAGCTGTGCTTCCTGGGTTGTGGTCCTCCGAGGCCGTTCCAGCCCAAGGGTGAGGGGAACGCGACCCCCACACCCCTCCCCACCGTGGAACTTCACTCAGGCGTCTTAGCCGCTCGGTCCAGGTGGGGTGTGACGAGTAGATGATGACACTCAGCCGAAATGCAAGTGACACAAAAACTTAGAAAATGGTAATTTAGGATGACATTTTACATCCCAGAAGCCTCTGCATGATGTACGTGGCCTCTGGGGTTTCTCTCTGAGTGTGGTGAGCCGGGAGGGCAGAGCCGGCCTTCCGTGGGGAAGATGAATCGGGCCATCCTGGAGAGGAGTGGAAGCTTAGTGTGTTCATTTCAACACAGCAGCTCCCAGGAGGGCGGGTGTCAGTTTAGGGGGAATTGTAAGGTAATTCCATCCGTTCCACACAAACCAGCTCTGACCTGGCTTTTCTGCCCCTCGTCTCCCCTTCTCGTCGGTTCCTAGTGGATCGTGTCTGGCTCGGAAGATAACCTGGTGTACATCTGGAACCTCCAGACGAAGGAGATCGTACAGAAGCTGCAGGGCCACACAGGTGAGCTTGGGGGTCCCACAGGTCGCGTGCCGCTGGCTCACAGTGAGTTTCTGGAAGAACACAAGCGAACAGTGTGTCGTTGTTTGGCACCTGCTTCTGCTGCTGCTTCCTCGGCCTGCTGGCGGCCCAAGGGGGATGCTGCCGGGTGCGAGTGGCTGGCGAGCGGTTGTCTGAGCACCCAGCTGGCCAGGCCGGGTTGTGGCCTTAACCTCTTCTAGTGCAGGGAGGGGGACACCCGCTGTCCCTTCGAGAGGCTCTGGCTCCTCTCGGGCTCAGACCTCCTGTCTCCAGGCAGGCCCGGCTCCTCGCTGCCTCTCAGCTCTGAGGGGTGCCCTGGCCCATCCCTCCACACCCGGGGGCCTCCCACCCCTGCCCCGCGCTATCCTCAGAGGCTGCTCCTCTTCCCCACTGCCCTGCACTCTCCTGGAGTCAGTGGAGCCGTGTGAGAAAGCAGCTCCAGCCACAGTGGGAACGTGGCTCTACCGGGAGGTCAGCACCGACCTCAGCCCCCGTGGTTCTGCTCCTTCCCCCCACCTGGCTTCCTGCCCCGAGAAGGCAGCCCTGGGCTTTGCTTGCTTCTGGTCCTCCACTGTGTGGGCGGGACCCTCAGTGCTTATCTGAAGCCACACAGGGAGGAGGCAAAGTTCTGGGCTTCAGTTTATTTAAAAGCTATAAATGCATTAATCTGGCTGACCCCAGATGCCAGCTCCTGAGATCTGAGTCCCTGCCTGGGGGTGGACTTGCCTCATGGTGACAGACTCAGCCCCTCGGAGCGTTCTCGGGCCGGGCAGCGGTGGGAGGCAGTGGGAGCAGTCGGCTCTGGGTCCAGGTAAGGCTCTGGATTGTTGACGCAGTGAGACTGACTGCCACTGACCCCATGGGTGCGGCCTCTGCACCAGGCAGTGCTGAGATCCTCCCTGGGGACCGCCATTCCCCAGCCACTGTGGCCCCGTGCTGGGCCAGCCTCCACGGAGCCCCCACCGCTGCCCTGCGAGGGCGTGTCACTGTCCCCTGTGCGGACATCCTGATGCTCTCAGAGCAGCCTCCCAGCCCAGGCTGGATGCTCACCATCACGTCAGCCAGCTGTCCTGTTCCGTGTCCCCGGGGCTCCGTGTGCCACACAGATGGTGGGCAGTGCAGGGCTTGCTGCTGTTAGGAGCCCTGGACCCGTGCTGTGGTGAACGGCCGTGAGTGTGGGTGTCAGCAGCCGGGCGAGGCCCCGACCTCCCTCCAGGCCCGTGGGCCCTGTGCTGGGAGCGGGGCCCTGGATTGCGGTGCAGGTCCCTGACCAGGGAGGGAACATTCTTGGCTGTGTTTGCAGATGTTGTGATCTCCACGGCGTGCCACCCGACGGAGAACATTATCGCCTCAGCCGCGCTGGAGAACGACAAGACGATTAAGCTCTGGAAGAGCGACTGCTAGGCCGCCAGCGAGCCGTGGAGGGACTGTCGGGAGGTTGATGCGGATTGGCAGGAGTGAGGTGTCCAGAGGGCTTCCCCCCAGTCTGGCCTGGGGATCGGGGAGGGGCCTGGATTTGAGCCGCCTCTGAAGACGATTTGGCTGAGGGGGGGGTGTCTACCACCAGAAAGTTCTAGAAGTTGCTGGTGACGTTTCTTGCCGATTCCTCTCACACTGTCTGGAGAAGAGTTCCTAGTCTGTATTGTGTTCCAAGTCAACAAAAGTTTTTAATTTTTTATTACAAAGGGTGAAGTTCAATTTTTCATGAGTTGTGTTTTTTTCCAGTAAACGTTCTGTACCTTTTATGCTGTTTTATTACCCAGCGCAAGCGCGGTAACCAGTGGCCACACGGCCTCTCCCACTGGCCTCTGCGGGTCGGCCCCTTGTCTGCCCCATAGATGCTCTGGCGACGTGGCTCTCACCGTCTCCGATTCCCGTCTGTAGTAACTCCTGGTGTGTTTGAGTGTATCTGGAAAATGCGGACACTGTCAGGTTATTTCTGGGTAAAAAGCCTCTCGTGTCTGGCAGTCCGCAGTCCCTATGCTGGCGGCGTGGTGATTGCCCGGCAGTCCCCGTCTGCCTCACGTGTCTGCATGGCAGCACCGCGGGCTGTCCTGAAGGTAGGATTTGGTGCACGGTTGTGGCCACTGGGTGCTCGTGTGAAGCTTGTCTCAACTCGGCTTCTTTGTGAAAAGTCGCACAATTGGCAGAAGGTTGAAAGGATCTTTCTCAAAAGACGGATGCTGGGAATGATGACCCATTTCCCTCCTCATCCCCTAGAGGCTGGGAACCCCGAGGCCTAGACCCTCGTCGGTTAATAGTGTGTCATGGCGGGGGCGGGGAGTGACCTCCTGGGAGGAGCTGGAAGTTCTTATTGAAAAGGAGCTGGCAACCCTAAAATGTCCTTCGGGACGTTGCAGATGGCTGTCTCCCGTCCCTGTGAAGGCAGGGGTGAAGGAGACCTGGTGCCTCGGTTCAGGCCTGGGCTCTGGTCTGAGGGGCACAGGCTGGTGCCCGTCCCCCGTTGCCGACCTCAGGACTGGCAGGCTTCTTGGAGTCTTTGGTGGGCCTGGGAGTCGGCCCCTCAGGGAGGCGGGTGTCATCCCCCAGCCTTGCCTGCCCGGCAGCCTCTGCCTGCTGGCACGGGAGCCTCTGCAGCGTCATGGCTTCTTGTGGGTGTGGGGGGGCTAGAACTGGCAAGTACCCTTGTTTTGTAGCTGCTCCCAGGCCTGGGGGACCCCTCAGCGGCTCCAAGACCTCTGCTGTGGAGGCGTGTCCCGTGCTTGGGGCTGGGTGGCCGTGGCCACTGTGGGCCGCTCCTCGGGCTTTGGGTTTGCAGGTGGCACGCGTCTCTAGTCTGAGGTGCAGCCTGGCGCTCAGCCACGCTGCCTTTCCTGAGGCCTGGGCTCCCTGGGTCTGGGGGATCTGGACAGTGCCGAGCCAGTGGGTAAAGCCTGTGGGGCCTTCGGGTGGACAGGCCCCCGGGAGGAACAGGGGGCTGCCCTCGACAGGCTTGTAGGGTGAGGACAACACGTTTAAAGGCATCTGGAAGGAAGCTTCCTGCAGCTCCCCCCTCGTCTCCTTTGGAAGTAGATGTACAAATGGGTTATCTCTTCTAGAAATGCTACAGTGACGTGGGCGTAACACTCACGGTCTGGGAGCCCGCACGGCAGCGTGTGGTGGGAAACGCTGAAGCTGTGCGTCGTGTTCTAGGGGCTCTGCTGTGGCATTTGCTCAGAGATGCTGAGGGTCTTCCGTTGTGTTGGGTCTGATGTCAGCGCGCCCCGGGAGGGGAGGGGCGTGTGTGCGGAGCGCCGAGTCCTTGAATAGTTTATTTTTTCTACATTTGAATTCTCTGTTGTAGATTTATGTAAAAATACATTCTCTTTTTGAAAATAAAGATTTTCATGTCTTGTAATTTTGTCCCGTAAGAGTTTTGTACCTTCCTTAACACATAGCTGTTACCTTGCGGGGAGCGGCTCTCGGGGCCTTGTCCTGCTCGGGTGTCTCACTGCCCCGTGGGCGACTGGGCTCTGGCGGGAAGTTCTGTTACATATTTCTGCTGGTCATCGACAGTGTGAAACAAATAGGCAAAGATAAGTCACCCACATTACTACCGCTCACGCTTTGGGGAATGTCTTCTAGTATATTTGTTAAAAACAAAAACTTTTCATTATGGAAAATCTCAAACATAAAAGTGGAGAAAATCCTCATGTCCCTATCATCCAACTTCAGAAACTTTTAACACATCTTATTTCATATGTTCCTCCCCAGTTATTTTAGTATAAATCCCAGACGTTTTATTATTTAAGCAGTGAATGCGTAGTATCTCTAAAAGATAATTCTCCAAAAGCGCTACCACAATACCATTTTCACACCTAAAATATTCTTAGAATCAAATATCTGATGTCCAGATTTCCCATTGTCTTAATATCTTTAAAGTGTACGTATACACGCATACGTACATGTACACACGTGCACAGGCAGACGTGCACACGGTTGGCTGGTGTGAACTGGGGTCCCAGCAAGGTCCCCATGTGCATCTGGTTGGTTGATCCTGAGCCTCGGTCATCTCCATGTCCCTCCTCTTTTCCCCTTACCGTGTGTGTGTGTGTGTGTGTGTGTGTGTGTGTGTGTTCTGAGTTGTAGCTGTGTGTGTGTGTGTGTGTGTGTGTGT